GAACGAGCCCGTCCCGGCTAACGTAGTTGAGAAGGTTCGTCGCGCCGGTCCACCCGGCTCCGTTTGAGGCCACCGAAGTTACCCGCTCCTGCCTCCGGTAAGGGATCGTCGTCCTGATCCGAGATCCGGGAGAGGCGATCTTAGAGAATGGGTTACTGGTGACTGGTTAGATGGGGCATGGATGGGATGGGATAGATGCTTATTCTGGGGTTGTTTGATTGGGCCGGTGGTAGGGTCCTGGCATTTTTTTGTTGTTGTCTTCTTTTGTCTTTGGAATTGGGAAAGAGGAATTGGGCGAACGTTCTGCATCGTACTGATCGGGGGGGTGAAAAGTCGATTCGTAGACTGGCTTAGGTAGTTCGATAGTTTGATGATTTAATAATCTTACTGCCTATCCCCGTGGGGTTAATAGTTTGATGGTTTTGATGGTCTTACTGCCTATCCTATGTTTTGCATACCTTGATAATTCGATAGTTTGGTGGTTTTATTGCCGATCCCGGCTGTTCCATCTTTGTATCCCTGGCAGACCCCACTCAGCCAACAGTATTCGTCGAACAGCTGGTTACGCTCGCCTATTTTCGCCCACGGGCGGAATCTTCTTCTCGCCCATGGGCCAAAACCATGGTGATCGGGCGCCGTTATATTACGCACTAGGCCCTTCCTGTGTGATATATATCTGGGTGTGGGAATCTACGCGCGCGAGCCGATTTCGTCATAATATATGTATTACTCTATCCACCTATAGCTCATCATCATCCTCTTCCATATCGATAGAGATACATGCCCGTTTCGCTTGATTACTTCTTCCCTGGGGTTCCTCTGCAGTGCGTTTCCGAGGCCCAAGATAGGTTTCAAACCCTAGAAAGCCATGCCACTCCCGACTGATCGCCCGATACTGTCGTCGCCGCGCCTCAACGTGACCGGGAGCCTCTTGGAGCCCCCGCGCGTACACGGTTCCAGCAGCCCAGGATCCATGACTCGCCTGCTCGTCAAGAGCGGCCGAATCAGTGCCATAATCACGCTTAAATCCGCCAATCTTCAAATGAACGCGGGAGATAGCGATTGCGGCATGCCGATAGGAAAGAATGTTCATTTTAGTCTGAAGATGAATCTGGGCCTCCCGTTGGAGGGCAGCTCGTAACCGGCTGGGGTCCCAGGTCCCCTCTCCATGGGGCCAGAGAAACGGTGATCGAGGGCTGGCAGTCCGCCGGGTGAGACGCTGGATCGCCTGCCAGAACGGTAGAATCAGCCAGAGGTAGTAAACTAGAAGTTCACTGACAGGTTTCGGTAGGTATCGATGAATAATCTTCGTGGAATTGCTGACGGAGTACCCCTTATGGTAGGAGGTTACCGTACTCACGAGCCCATGTTCGACAAAAATATTGCGGTGGCGCCCTTGAACGGTATTACTGTGCCGGAGGCTTAACAGTTCAGTTGCACGCCCCGGCTGGCCGCCAGTAATATGAATGACCAGCAGGAGTCGCTCTAGAAACCAGTCAACCTGCTGGAGATATCGGTCCACTGCGGAACGACGCCAGATCACCTCGGAATCGCTGGATCGGATCTCCAGAAACTCGTCCCGCAGCCAATCCGTGGTAAGGACTCGATCCATAAGCCACTGCTTCCCGGTTGGAGATAGAACCCGGGAATTGGCGTGGTTCTGGAGGAAGTTCCACCCACGCCGGTTGTTCACCGGGTCATCTTGCAGTTTCTGAAGACTCAGGACCGGCACGATATCGTCCCGGGTCTCCTCGTCGTGGAGTAGAAAGAGATCTTCGAGACTCTGCTGTACCAGCTCGATCTGAATCCGGACGAAATTGCGTAAGCCGGTCATGGTAAGTTTCAAATCACGGTAACTAAGGGTCTGCTCGTCATCGCTCCAGTAGATATAGCCTAGGCTCGTGGTGCTATTCTGGATCTTCTTCCCGTAGGTGCGAAGCCGGGCGATCCAGCCAAAAGGCGCTTGAACCCCGAAGAGTAGAAAACGTGCCCGCATATCATCGAGAGCATCTGTCGGATAGGCGACTGTCCCACTCTCTGCCAGATGAACGGCCTGTTCGGCGACCAGCATCTGTGCGATCTTAACAAGCCCCGAGAGATAGCTCGTGTATCCGTAAGGGTCCCGGAAGGTCTGCTGCTGCGGATCTAGCCCCAGGACAGCGAGAAAGCCGACCACGGCACTCTCGTAGATCTCCCCCTTCAGGGGGTGGTCCAATAGGGCAATCGACAGGGCAAGACAGGCCCGGTCAAGCCTCTCGAGCTCGATCGGGCTTGTCTGCCGAAGAAGCAGCGTCCCGGCCTCTACCATACGGTCAAGCGCGGCGAGCTGGCTGGTGGTGAGTTGATGGCGGAGGATTACCGCTGGGTCCGGACGGCTGGTACGGTAGACAAAGCAGATGAGCCGCTGCCAGACCCGCCGGTAAGAGGCATATGTTTTGGGCTTTAGGTGAATCTGGATCGGTCGGTCCCAGATCTTGGGCTGCTGGGTAAGAAAGGTGTTGATCCGGATCTGATCGAACTCGTTGATCCGGCGATCTTTAATGGTCTGGTAGGAACGCTGGATTAACCGCTCGACACTCTGGGTAAAGAGGGCCAAGAGGGGCTCCTGGACTGGATCCGGAAGGGCACCCAGGCTAGCGGCGGCGGCCAGATCGCAGGCGGCCAGATAATCCGGCCATCGAGTAAGCTCCAACCAGGGCGAGACCTCGGTAGGATGTTTTCGGACGGGTATCTGCTGATACTGCCTCTTCTCATCCTCTAGGTCCTCCTCTAATGCTTGCTCGACCTGGGCCCGAATGAATTCGGCCGGCGTCAGGGCCTTTGCCTGCCGAACCCGCTCGGCCCGGATCGGGGGCGTAACGGCAAAGAAGCTGCTCCCGGCGCCGGTAGGGAAGAATCGCTGGCAGTTCACCGGGTGTCCCTGGAAATGACGGTCGAGATGGCGGGTAGCCGCCGGTTGGCGACCGCGCGGCCGACGGAGCTCTGGGTGTCTCTCGCGGATATGTTTCGCCAGACTTTCCGGACTTCGAACCACATGGCTACACCGAGGGCAACGGTACCCGGTGTACAGGGGCAGATTCGGGAGCGGGCCAGCCTCGGGATCAGGGAAGATACAGGGCTCCGTGGCCGGGTCCAGCCAGGGCCGTTGAGCCATCTTCTCGTGGGCTATCTTCCGGAGGACCCGGGTCGCTGCGGTCGGATGGGTCTGATGATGGATCCGTAGATGACTTTCCAGGCGTCGGGGGCAGATAGCATACTGGCAGGGCTTGCAGATCCATACGCGATAGGAGTCATGGTAGATAAAGAGATCCATTTCCTAAAAGGATAGCAGTAGATGATGATGAATCTGCTTGATCATAGGTAAGGAGGACGAGGAGAGCAGAAGAGCAGAAAGATATAGCAGGCAGGGACGAGTTTTTCTGATGTATCAGATCCCTAATACTTTCGACGCGTTCGCGACGTGCCATCCCCCTAGGCCTAATTAGGCCTACTCGACTTCTTTTTACGCGCCAACGACCTGCTGCCACCCTATTTACCAGTGGTGGAGAGGGGGTATGAGTTCCTTCGTCCGGTAGGTAATGTAGGAGAAACCCTCTGGTGGTTACACTTGATCTGCTATCTTCCTCTCGACCGTATCAGGCTTTTCGCCCGAGGGCGAAAACGTATGACACCAGCAGCAGTAAGGAATCAAGCTGGTCACTACCTATGTCAATAAAAGCAAGTAAGCTGCAGATAAGATACGGAACGGAACGGATATACCTAACCCTCGCCGTAGAAGACGGATCTTATGAAATACGAGAGAGGCAGTTTATCCTACCTCTCTTTCTCTTTCTCTTTCTCTTTCTCTTTTTTTCCCTTCTTGTTGAACGTTCGACTACGCCGCACTCGCGCGGGCGGGCGGGAATACGGACGCACGAACCCCCTCTGGGGCACGCGGGCCAATGGGCGGGCGAGAAAAGCGAGCGCGGGCGGGGTCGGACAGCTACTAGAGAGTAGGCGAATCTAATAGCAGTAACAAGTTACTATCAAAGAACGTAATTGTTATTGAACACGAGGAACTAAACAAGAACTATCTAACAGGTGGGCGAGCGAGTGTCCTTATATAGTCCTCCTTGAGTATACCATCCCGTATACCTTGTAGGTCTGCGGCATACCATCTGGTCTACAACATACCCGATGGTATATCGTATACCATATGGTGCTGGCATACTATATCACGTGATCCATGTTTCCTCCGTAGCGTCATCAGCCTCGGGCCGCTGTCGTCCTATCGTTTCTGCCTCGCGGCTCCTAGTGTTGCAAGAGTCCGTAACACCACTTCCCTTCCTTCAGGTTCTTTGTCCCTTAAAGAACAGATAAGACAGCTATCCCCCGTCTCATCGCTGGTGAGTGTTCTCCTTCCTTTTCCTGACCCCTTTTCTTGACGTGCGTCATTATGCCCAAGCGTAATCGCTATAAGGAACGTTGCCAACAGGCTGACCGTATTATCCGTGACGGTGTCCAGGTCGAACTTCCTTATGCCTGGTGCTTTTCCCGCGGTCTTCCTTGCTTCATGGATTCCAAAAATCGAAACTGTGCAGCCTGCACCCGTCGTGGCCGCAAATGCGAAAAACGATTTCATAGTGAACGAGAGTGGGATCGTCTGAAACGTGACGAGGATCGATTATCCTCCGAAATCGAACAAGCCGAAGAGCAAATAGAACAACTCTTCGCTAAACTGAAACGTTTGCGAAAGCATCGCAATTTCTTAAAAGAACGTGGTGGGAAGATGTTGGATCATGATTCCCATATAATAGACGTGTTGGACGGAGAAGACCCTCCGTCTGCCGAAAATTTGCGCGAGCTGGATCGTTTGGCCAGTGAACACGAGACTGCCCAGCTTGCTGCTGTCTCTAGTGATCCTACATTGAGCCAGTTGATGAATGATCCCGCTTTTTGGTCGGCTTTCGATCTTTCTGCTGCTGGTGGTACCGTCGAACCGACTGGTGGCACCCCATCAGGTTCTCGATAGGTTCCCATGTATTTTCTGAGGTATCATATCCCTCCCATTTTACCAGGTAGTGTGATCTTCCGCTGACTTTCTTGTGATCTAGGATTTTTTCAACTTCGTATTCCTGTTCCGTATCGTCTGCGATTTCCACATTTTCTGCGATTTGCGCGTTTGCTGGTGCTGGTTCCAATAATGAGACATGAAATACTGGGTGTATCCTTTTTATCGATTCTGGTAGCTTCAAGCGATAGTTAACCGATCCAATTTTTTCTTCGATCGTAAATGGTCCAATCTTTTGGTGGTCGAGTTTCTGACTTGGTCACTTGGTTTTAATGTTTCTGCGGAGCAGGAACACTTTTTCCTCCCTTTTGAAGGTAAGTTCCTCCCCATGGTGCTTATCGTAATATACTGCTGCTCTGAGATTGAAAAAATCGATATCCCTTGACATCTGTGCGTGAAGATATTTGAGCGTGTCAAGTGTCTCTTGAGCTTCTGTCGCAACTGGTGCCTTGTTCCGTGGTTCTCCAGTTAACATAGGGTTGTAACCGTAATTTGCATAAAACGGTGTGACTCCTGTGGTTGAATGTATCGCGTTATTGTATGCGAATGTTGCCATTGGTAACAGTCCTGCCCAGTCGTCCTGCTGGTAGTTCACGTAGTGCCTGAGGTACTGTTCTATCGTCTGGTTCATCCTTTCTGTTTGACCGTTTCCTTGTGGATGATATGACGTTGTCAATGAGTGATTGATTCCCATTTGGTCGGTAAGTGATTGCCAAAACTTCGATATAAATAGTTTGTCTCTGTCCGAAGTGATTCGTTGTGGCATCCCGTGTCGTGTGATAATGTGTACCAATAGCAAATGTGCTATATCTGTGACTTTCATCGTTGTCTTGCATGGTATCATGTATGCGTACTTTGTCAGTCTGTCTGTGATGACTGCAATCATGTCCCATCCCTGAGATTTAGGTAAAGGTCCCACGAAATCTATCGTGATCCATTCCCAAGGTCTCGATGGTGCGTCTGGTGACTGCATTTTTCCGTAGGGTTGATGTCTTGCTGGTTTGTCCCTAATGCAAGTCTCGCATTTCTTTGTAACATAATCCTGTACCTTCCGTCTGACGTTTGGAAAGTAGTAGTTCCTTGTGATCTGTTCGGTAGTCTTCTCGACTCCGAAATGTCCGTGCATAGGGTTGTCATGATGCATAGCAATGATCTCAGTTCTTATACACTCTGGTATGTAGATGAGTCCGTACATATACACTAACCCGTCCTCGTCAGTAGCGATCTTTTCATTTTCTGCTGAGTTTTCTGCAATTTGTTGAATCATGGCGTCTTCCTTGGTTACCTTGATGATTTTGTTGACAATGTTGTTACTGATTTCGATTGTTGCCGAGATCGAATGTTATCTGTTGTACGAAAGTGAACCGTCTTTGTTTTGTTTCAATATTGCCGGCTCCACAATTCGATCCGTAATTTCGTAGTCTGGTCGTCGATTAAGCGCGTCTGCTTGTCCGTTTTCTGTTCCTTTGCAATGTTCGATTCTGAAATCAAACTGTGATAACTTTTCTGACCATCTCGCTTGTCTTCTGGTCAATTCTTTGGTCGTGGTAAAGAACGTGAGGTTCTTGTGATCCGTTTTCACTAGAATCTGGTGCTGAGCTCCTTCCAGGTACACTCTTCATACTTTGAATGCTGTCACTATGGCTAGCAATTCTTTGTCGTGAATGTCGTAGTTCATTTCTGCCTGAATAAGCTTTCGTAAATGGAACGCAATTGGTTTGGCTCTGCCGTTCTCATCTGGTTGTGTCATTCTCATACCGATAGCATAGTCGGATGCGTCGGTTTCGATCGTAGTCAGCTTCTCTAGATCGTGCTGTACTAAGATTGGTGCGGTCGTGATTCTCCGTTTCACGTCGTCGAAGGCTTGCTGTGCCTGTGTTATCCATTCAAACTTCTGATTCTGTTTCAACAAGTTGAATATCGGTACCATGGATTTGGCGTATCCATCGATAAACCTCCGATAATAGTTGATCAATCCGGTAAACTGTTGGACTTCTTTCAGGCTTTTGGGTACAGGCCAATCCCTGATTGCCTGGACTTTGCTTCTTTCCATATGTACTCCTTCGGTGGTAATCCAGTGTCCTAAGAACTCTGTCTCTTGGACATGGAACTCACACTTCTTGAGTTTCAATCGTAACTTAGTAATGCGTAGCTTCCGTAGCACTTGCTTCACGTGTCGAATGTGCTCTTCTTCATTATTCGAAAATACCAGAATATCGTCTAGGTACGCGATGACAAAGGTGTCGAGCAATTCTCCCAAAACTTCGTTAATGAATCGCTGGAATGATGCTGGCGCGTTGGTTAGCCCGAATGGCATGACCAAGTATTCGAAATGTCCGTATTTCGTTCTGAAAGCCGTTTTCTATTCTTCTCCTTTGGCGATTCTCAATCTGTTGTATGCGTCGGTAATGTCAAACTTTGTAAACCATTTTGCTCCTCTGATTTTGTCTTGTATCTCTGCAATGAGCGGTAATGGATGTCTGTCCTTAATGGTTTGTTCGTTCAATGGTCGGTAATTAACGCACAATCGTAAGCTCCTATCCTTTTTTGATGCGAACAGGACTCCGTGTCCTGCAGGTAATGTCAATGGTCTGATGTAGCCTTTTGCAAGTTGTTTCTCAATGTATTGTCGCAAGATCTGAGACTCCTTTTCTGATATAGGGTAGATCTTTCTGCATGCGACTTTGTCTTCATCTTTGAGAGGAATCCGGTGGTCATGTTTTCCGTGTTCTGGTAGTTCAGGCTTCTCGGGTTGTTCGAATAGCTCCTGAAATCTTTCGTATTTGTCTGGTAACTGCTGTACTTCTTTGCTGGCCGCTAATTCTGTAGCATCGATCATTTGCCATGACTCGATCTGTTCGTGCAGTTCCGTGTTGTATTCAGTAGTAGCCATCGTGTTGGCGTACTCTTGTCGTGTATCTGGTGCCCAACCAGAAAGTCGTGCTAACCATTCCTTTCCCGTAGGTTTGGTTGCTGCCATAACTGCGACCGCAGTGTCCACCTGCTCGGCGTCTTCAGTTAGCATGTCTGTAGGTCTACCCCTTGACCTCTTAGCGTCAGCTCGGCTCGCTTGGCCCTGAGCACGCCGTTTGGCCTCAGATGCCTTCTTCATCTGGCCTTGTCGTGGGCATTCACATTTCGTGAATTGAAGACTCTCTGTTTTCCAATCAATCTCTGGGTTGTAATCCCGAAGCCATGGGATCCCCAACACCACGTTATACCGTCCCAAAGGTGTCACGTCGAAACTTATATACTCGAAATGACCCTTTACAACCATGGGTACTGGTCCTGATTCGACTGTGAGGTGTCCTCCCAATGGTTCACCGTTCAGTCCTGTGATAGGCTCTGGCGTAGCCTTTGTTATCCCTAAGATCTTCAGCTGTTCCTGAAATCTTGGATCCATGAAGTTGCCCGTTACTCCAGAGTCTACCATGACTCGAGCGTTCTGGTTCAGAACTGTAGCTATCAACTTCAGATGCAATCCTTTTTGGGCTGTTGCTGATAAACTGTTTGCCCAACGGGGTCCTGCTAACCCTCGTGGCTGTCGTGGGAAATGTTGTCCAAGCTTCGCGTCGTAGTGAACTTGACAATAGTCTTCCCAATATCCTGTTCAATGTCTTCTCCCGTAGTCTGGGTGCATGGAGTATCCAATGCAAGCGCACCCTAGTTTCCTGCATGGGCATCCTGTCCCTTCCTTGACCATGTGACATTGTGAGATGTATTTCAGTGTTTCGTGTATTGGGTCCTTGCATTCGTCGTCCTGACATGCAACCCATAGTAGGCAATGGTGCGTTGCGTGTGTTGTCTGATACAAGCATTCGCAATTCTCTTGTCGACATGCGTGTAAGGATCTGATGTGACCGGTTCGTTTGCTCATTTTCTGTAGAGCCTGATGGTAATCGTGATTCCATCGGTCGCATATCCTGCATCTTGTGGCATGTTCTGTTGCGCATTTCACTCTGTGTGTTGCCCAGTCCTCTCTCTGTGGGTTCCAACAGTCCAACTTCCAGTGCGAGCATTGCGAGATAATGCGTCGCAGTCCCCCTGTAAGCTTTATTGGATCCTGTTTTAGGTCCTGGATCAACTTCTCTTTCCATTGCTCGTTACTAATTTCTTTCAGTAGAGTGAAGACATGCTGATCGGCTTCGCTGTCTTCCCCTTTCTAATCAGAGGTTCTGTGTCCCGCTTGATTATGATCAGAGGTATTCTTGATCACTTGATTATCTTCCGAGTCAGTGCTGCCAGCGTCCTCCTGACCGGGTATCTGTTTGTGAAAGTTTTCGTCGGGTGTCTCCGGTATCTCTGAGAGTTCCTCCGTATTGGGATCACGGCCTTCCCATTGAGTCCCGTAATTTTCGTTCAGTGGGTCGAAGCTTCCTGGCACTCGAGCCCAGTCGTTGCCCAGTAAATCTGGCTTCTTACTGATGGCTTTAGGAGACCCATCCGTCTCGTCGTCCATAGGCCAGTGTTCTGAGTCTTCGCTATCGGATATCTCTGGGTCTTGGAACTGTCTTTCTTCCCAATCCTCGTCATAGCGTGTCGCGTTCAGAAGCGTCTCAGTTGCTTCGCTGAACATCTGTGGAGAATTCGCTAATCTCCTTGTGGCCCCTTCCACGTCGTCGGGAATTCGTGAATAATCGCTTTTGTCTTGCGATCTTTGGACAATGCATGATTCTTCTGTTGGTCCTTGCGCGTCTGTTGCGTCCAAAGGCTACCAACTCATGTCGTATGCGCCTCTCGCGGGCTGCACAATCTCGTTGATTTCTTGCGTTGCTCTGAGCTCTTTGGTGCCGGACTTCCTCGGTGTCCTACCGTTGGCTCCTTTTCTTGGTGATCTGCACTCTTTCGATCGGTGCCCTACTTTTCCACAGTTAAAGCATAACTGTTCTTTTCTTCGTCGATCGAGCTCTTCTTTTGACAATTGCTGTTGCCGTCTTTCGGTAGCGTCTAGCTCCATAGGCTGTAGCCCATAAAGATCACTGTATCCTTGGCTTCTTGGTTGCGCTGTTCGTCTGTCGTTGGCTCGATAGCTATTTGTTTTCTGGTGTCCTTGGAATCGTATTCCGGACCGATTTTCTCTTCGTCGAGCATTGAAATCGTAAAGCTTGTTATCGATTTTGACTGCTTGCTCTATCATTTTGCTGAGTGAGTTTGGTCTTTCCATCCAAATCAACTTCTCCTGGATCTCTGGTTTCAGTATTTCCTCGAACTTTGCGATGTAAGAATCCTCATCCCAGTCTAGGTGTGAGATAATCTGTTGAAAGTCTGATGCTAGTTTGCTGACCGATCCAGTTTG